CTTTTGGGCTCTGTTTGGAGAAGGCAAGGGTGGGATGATTTGAGAGAATAGCACTGAAACATTTCTATTACCATATGTGAAACAGATGACCAGTCCAAGTTCAATGCATGAAACAGGGCACTCAAAGCCAGAGCACTGGGACAACCCAGAGGGATGGGATGGAGAGGGAAGTGGGAGGAGGGTTCGGGATGGGGGATACATGTACACCCATGGCTGATTCATGTCAGTGTATGGCAAAAACCACCACATATTGTAAAGTAATTAGCCTCCAATTAATATAAATAAATAAATTATTTTTAAAAAAGTATTACTAATCCAGAAGAGAGATTCTTTCTAATCCAAGGACCTAAAATTAATGGAGAAAGTGAAGTTATTCATGACTTAACATTCCAAAGACATCACCTAAGCAATATACATACAAAAAACACACATGCAAACGTTCTAAATCTTTAAGTAGGTTCTAGATTACCGCAGAGGTATCTGTACAGTCTATGATAATCTAAGAACTGATTTCATACACTTATATTCTTATATATAACTTCAATGTACAGAAGTAAATTAAGGAGAAATTAAATACTCCAAAGTAGTAAATTTTAACAGTCCCCCTCCCTTAGACTCAACAGGCTTATGGAATAAATAATTGATTCTAAATGATAATTGGTACTTGTTGCTTTTTGCCAGAGTAACACCTGGAGACAGTGGCTGATATTCAACTCTAGCAAGACTTCTGAGAATATTAAATGTAAATCTACATAGAGGATAGTTTAATATATAAATTGTACAACTAGAAAGATTTTTGAAGGATAAGAGGGAGTTTTGCATAACAGAAAAAAATACTAAAGGAAGAAGGTCTAAAACAAATTTCTTCAAATTTATTTTTGTTGATTTGTTATCAGCAAAAAGGATAAGCTATGAATGCTGAATGTTCTAAGTTTAATTTTCTGAAATTTATATTTTTAAAAATCGCCACCACTGTATGCAGTGTTCCAAACTGAAAGCTCTCCCCTTAGGTACTAGAAAAACCTGCATTTGAACCAAGGATTTACTGCTCAAAGAGCAAGACTCTTCCTTACTCCCCTCTGGGATTTTATGCTTATTCCAGCAAATTCAGACCAAACAGGTAACATTTCAGGTTTCCATCTATAAAGAAAGAGGCAGACAATAAGTAGACCCTCAATTTTTAGGTACAGAATAATAAAAATATAAATGGTTTCAAATATCAATTTTGTGTTATTTGTGAGAATAAAAAAAATCAAATTGTTAAAGGGTTTTTAACAATCCTGATTCATGCAATTTAAGTGACTGGGGGGGCAAATCAATTAGCAGTTTATGTAAACACTCTTTGAAAGAGCATATAGGAGGGTTCTCTCCAGTTTCCCATTTTTCAAAGAAAATTGCCTTTAAAGTTAGAAACCATGAATACAAATCAACACAAAAAAGTAGTTTTCAGCTAATTTCAAAATAAGGATTGTACTGTCACCAACTCAATAAAGAAATGGACATTTTCAATTCAGGTTGTATTACTTAAAGTACTGTCTGTTTATAATTCAGAAAAAGTCTGACAAACAATCTAAGTTAAAAATACAGGAATAAAAGGGAAAATATATGTGCCTAAATTCTCAAACCTGAAGAAGCACCAAGCAGACAAACACTTCAGTATATTTATAGCCAAGTTAGAACATATATCTGTTCTGAAATTTAAAAATTAAAATTTTAAATTTAATTTAAATTTCCACTAAACAAATAAAAATTAAATAAATTTCCATTTTAATACTGATAGAAACTGATTTTTTAAAAAAATCACCATTTTGAATATTAATAGTACATTTCATTTCTGCCCCCATAACCTATAGACTTTCTCAGATTCAAACATACAATAAATGAAAAGTACTTTACAATCTCTGATTATTAGAAACCAGGGAACCTTTAATGTTTCTGAGATTTGTGACAAACTCAAATGACACATAAAAGTGAAGCTTTGAAAAAATTAATCAAATAGTAGGGCAGGAACTCAGACATTCCTGTATCTTTCTCAAAGGAGTTATGATATTATAAAGAATAACTATGTGGATGAACAAATTTACAAACTGTTCCTGCCAAAAAGTATGCTAGCAAGGCCATATTTATAGGAATGTGCTTAATGATGAAACAGCATGCCTCACTTTTAATAAAATATTTGCACACATTTATATACAAATAGACTAATAATAAAGGACAGTGGGTCATCCTGTGGTAGAGAAGTAGAAACATAAAAATTTCTACTGGACTAGTTTTACCATATTTTAAAAATATACTAAGATTTGGAACCTCAAGGTCACAAAAAGACAAACACTGTATGATTCATTCCACTTACATGAGGACTCTAAGTAGTCAAATTCATAGAATCAAAGCAGAGTGTTGCTTACCAGGGGCTGGGAAAGGGGAAGATGGGGAGCTGTTTAATGGGTATAGAGTTTCAGTTTTGCGAGATGAAAAAGTTCTGGGGGGGTGGGGCCCAGCAATGTGAATATGCTTAACACCATTGATCTGTGCACTTAAAAATGGTTGAGATGGTTAAGAAAAAAGATTCGGCAGCAATACATAAATAATCATAAACAGATATAAATAACCTATAAACAGTAGACTGGCCCCATGCACTTATATGCAGCTACTAGTCACGTGTGCCTATTAAAATTTACATACTTTTTAAAGTTAAAATTTCATTTCCTCAATCACAGTAGCCACAGCTCAACTGCTCAACAGCTGTTATATAGCTGTTGAGGGCAGCTCGAACTCCGTATGTGTTCATTACAGGAAGTTCTATGGGACAGCACTGGGTCAGACTCAAATACATACAGGAATTTGTATTTGACACAAACCTGTTTGTGATAAAGGTGGCACAACAAATTGGTGGGGAAAGAATTATTGAGAAAACAGTGTTGGGACAATCTGCTCGTCTGGAGAATGAGGAGGGAGAAAGGGAGTAAAGCTAAATGCAGATCTCACCTATTATTCTGAACAAATTCTGAATGAATCAGAGATTTATACTTTAAAGCTGAAATGATAAAAGTACTAATTCGTAAGTCTAATCATTAAGAAAGGGCTTTCCAAACACAATGGAATCCAAGAAGGACAAAAGAAAATGACTGATTTCTTTTTTTTAAGTTTAACAAAATACAAACTTTCATATGAATAAAGCCCAGACAAACTGAAAGAAAAGAGAAAGGGGATGTGGAGTGGGAGAAAATAAATTGAAAGTGTCAATATACACATGAAAAAATTGCTCAATTTCACTTGGAATTTAAACACTATTAAAAATTGTACTTCCAGCCATCAGATGGAAAAGATAATCCCCCGGGTTAATGACTGTGTGGAAAAACAGGCACGAGTGGACGCAAAACCTGGTGCAAATCATTCAGGGGCAATTTAAAAATATTTATCAAAAATGAAAAGCAACAAATAATTTACAGGTAAAATGATACTGAGTCTAGGTTTGTGTTGAAAATAACCCGAGGAGTAAAAAACTTACCTGAGAAAGTTGGTGCAGATATAAATAAAACAAAATTTGGCATAAAATGATAGTAGTTGCATCAGGATGCTAAGTATGTAGGGGATTCATTATATTACTCTATCTTTGAATATGTTTGAATTTTTCCAAAGTTGTTCCTATCATGAACACTCTTTAACCCAGGAATTTCATTTTTTTGAATTCAGCTTATAATTGCTTCTTGGCCTTTTGGCTAAGATCAAGTGTGAATTCAGCTTATAGATACACTGAACAAGCACAACAGTGGAAGTATAAGGACACTCTGAGGTAACAGAAGCATCCAGAAACAACCTAAATTTCCATTAGAGAATTGGCTGAATAATTGTTTATCTAAACACAGTGATGTAACATACCTTTAAAAAACATTGAGGTAAATTATATGAGAAAGATTATGGAAAAGGGGAAAAGTATCAAGAGCAGAACAATAGATACACATCCATATTCATAATAAATTCTAGAAGGATATGTCAGAATCTGAACGGTGGTTACATCTGGTTGGGCAGGGGATGGGGGACTAGAAATCTGGGAGGAGGAAACTCATCTTTTCAAACATTTTTATATTATGACTTTTTTTGAATGTGAATGTATTATATCCATTACATTTTTATTAATAAAAAGAACTAGACTTTTAAAATCCTTCCTCTATAGAGATGACTATCATTCATTAGGAACTGTTAATGTTTAGGGTCAGTGCTGGGAAGAGCTTGTCCCAAAGCACATTTAAGTTTTATAGAGCAGAACAGAGGAGCCACAGTTTCTTTATTACTGACCTAACTCAGGGCTCTTTCTGACTCTTGTATCTTAGCCCCAATGACCAATCTGAAAATCTAGCATTATAGATTAATTCATCTAGAATAATTGCTCTAAAGATGTAAGATTCTTTCTTGGTGTTAATCAAACAATTAAAGATATTTATTGAATATATATGAATATGTACCTGGTCCTGTGGGAGATTCAAAGGAAAGGATTACAGTCTTGCTCAAGAAGTTCATAATCTCACCAAAGAGAAAATACTCATGTGAGGAGCAGAGAACGGTTAATGCCATGCAAACACATTACATGCCGAAAAAAAGAGAAGTTAGCGTGGGTATGCAGAATCAAGGTCATGGTGGAAAAAAGAGGGCAGACTTGATATTAACAGATGAGCTGGATTTAGACACCCAGAGAGGAGAAAATTATATAAAACTGCCTGAAAGAATGTACAGGAAAAAACTGAGATAGTCAAACTCAGTATGACCAGTGGTGGGGGATGGGAAGAAGTATAAAACAAGTAGCAAACTGGAGGAAAGTTCAAGGTAATATATATTTTTTAGAACAAGCAAAAATTAAGATTTTATAAAATAGGCAAAAGAGAGCTTTAACAAGCGTTTGGCAGCAACAGTGTGCAAGGTAGAGTAAATTATCTGCATTCTCTGTTTCCGTTAGGCCTGCTTTTTTGACATGATAAATAAAAGGACAAACATTGTTTCCATACCTCACTTCCAGACCCGGACTCTAGTGGTCTCTTCTTCCTTGGTCCAATAGCTGCAAGAGCTGTGAGATTAGCATCTCTCTGCTGTATCTGCGCGAGCTCCAGCTGTTGTAACTAGAAGACAGAATTAAAAAAAAAAAAATCGGTGTTTACACACAGCCATGCTCAGAGAGGGTAAAGTTGACCACTAAGCCCACTTCTCTGTTCTTTCCCAAATATGTGACAGTGCAAAATAAATATCAGATCAAAATAAATAACAGATTTCCCTAACAGCCAAGTATACATCATATTCTGATCCCTTTCCTCTGATAAACTCAGTCCTGAATCTCTAAATAGAAGAGGCAGAATTTACGTAAGGAAGAAGTATAGAATAGAACAGAAGAAAGACATCTAGAGCTTAACCTCTCCTTAAGTTTAACCACAGATAAGAAATACCTGAAGAATAAGCTGAACCGGAAATTGGAGTGAAAGCAGCCAAACTACAGTCAAATTTTTCAGATTAAAAGTGAATTACAGCTGACCCTTGAACAATGAATGTGAGGCTAGAGGTGCTGACTATCTATGCAGTAGAAAATTCACCATTAACTTATAGTTGGTCTTCCATATACCTTATAACTAACATATAACTAAATTAAAGAATCTGCCTGCAATGCAGGAGACCCGGGTTCAAACTCTGGGTCAGGAAGACCCCCTGGAGAAGGGAATGGCTCCCCACTCCAGTATTCTTGCCTGGAGAATTCCATGGACAGAGGAGTCTGGCAGGATACAGTCTATGGGGTCGCAAAGAGTTGGACATGACTGAGCAGCTAATACATAACACATAATTAAATTTACATATAACTTATAGAGGTTTCTGCATATCTACATATCCCTTAATTCAACAAACTGCAAGTCATGTCATACTAGGTATTCAGTGAAAAAAATATACATGTAAGTGAACACACACAGTTCAAATCTGTGTTGTTCAAAGGTCAACTGTACTTAAAAACAGAGTTTTTATGTATTACAGGAAACAGTTCTATATGATTTACAAAGCACTTCCTTAAAATTAATTCATTTAACTCTTAAAATCACACTGAAAGGTATATAGTTATAATAACATGAAAAGTATACATGTACTTTTTTTTTTTAACTAAGGGAGACAGTGGGGCTTTAAAGACGTTGGGAAAACATCATAAAGGTCACACAAATAAGAAGTGATAAAAACGGAAGTCAGAGCCATAAAAGCCTTTTCAATATATCACATTTTTTATGGATTTACTCTATATTTATCTTCATGTCAAAGATTGAAAGTGAGTCAGTATTGTTTTGGTGTACTGTTATCACTACGCTTAAACCAGAATGATGAAATCTACAAGGTATAATTTCTTGATATTTGGGCACTAAGCTGTACACAGGATCTATCAAAGATGTCCTGTTAAGGTAGATAAATTTAATATACTAAAATTGAGAAATAAATGTATGAAACACTGCATCACTTCACCAAGGCAAGTGTCAAATGGTATTCTTTTTTTTAAAAAAACAACAAGGTAAAGAAGTCAAAATAAAATATCACTACACAGATCCTTGGGCTTTTCCAGAAGAGAAATAATGTTCCATTCCTATCAAAAATCTTGTTACTGTGGAGAAAAAGGGAGAAAGAACTAGGTAGTGATTGCTAGATAAATAGTCAAACAAGATCAGACTCCAAGATAGTCAACTGAAGTAACCTACTGGGGAACCATAAATATATCCTGAGAATATTCTTCTAAAAGAGCATTAACCAAATTTTTAACACTTTAAAAAAAAAAAAAAGAAAAAAGACCAGATGAAAGCAGAAAACAGTTTGGGATGAAGTAGGCTATCTCAGAGAGATCATTTCAAATTACTTCATAATATCAAAGGAAAGACAAAGAATAAGCCGGTAAGCTATAGGTAACTGAGTCTAACAAAGCAGAAAAGTTTGACTTAACTGAAGAAAATAAACTAGGAACCACTTCCCTTTTGCTCCACAAATTACAGGGCAGAAATCCATCCTTTAAACTGTGTATTTATATATATATAAACTGTTAGAAAACTATTTTCGAGAGTTATAAACTATCTTTTGTTGAGGATGGTCTTTTAAATAAAACATACAGTTTTAGAGTCTGACGCTGTCACAATATAGAACTTCAGGGTAACAAAATACAACTTTAGCTAATCTACCCTGCAGCACAAATCAAACAACAAGCTATATTTTAAAGTCTTTCCCTGTAGAGAAATGGTATCTGCAAGACAGTCACACCAAACAGTTTTAAAACTGACCTCTGTCATCAGATTCCTCTCCCTATAAAGTAAAACATTTTCTCTCTGCAAATTGTACTTTGGTTTCCAGAAATCTCACACACAATGTTTTAGAAAAATTTGCAAAACTCTTTTAACAAAAATAGAAACTGACCATAGTTTGGTGGGTCCTGTATTTACAATAAACTTGCTTAAACTCAATGTATTGTGGCCAGCATAATACACTGTGGATGAAGACATGTAAACTTTCTGCGTGATAAAAGCACTGAATTAGAGGTTTCCTAGTGGAAACAGGATTGCAAGTGACATGATTATTTACACAGAAAATTTCAAGGTAGTTATAAAAAACAAAATTAAAGAACTTCCTAGGATTAATAACAAGTTTAAGCAAGGCTACAAGATGCAAGTCAATACACATAATGATCACATTTCTAAATACCATTAAGGTAAAGTCAGAAACTTAAAGTTTTTTAAAATGCCACTTAAAATAGCTTTCCCCCCGAATGAAATAAGTATAAATCTAACACATACAGATACTTGTATGCTATAAACCACAAGATGCAGATGAAAGAAATAAAAGAAAAAAACAGATAAATGGAGAGATACATTGTGTTCATGGACTGTAAGATTTAACAATCTATGGATTGTAAGAAACAGTAAAGGTTCAAGTCTCTCCAAACTGACCTTCAGACAATATAATTCCAATAAAAATTTTCTTTGTAGAAATGTATAAGTTGATATAAAATTTACATGGAAATTGAAATCAGAAGCTAAATCAATTTTGGGGGGAAAAAGGGGGACAAAATTGGAAGAATTACACCATGCAATTTTAAGAATTACTTATATAAGGCTACAGTAACCAAAATAATGTGGTATTGACAAAGGAACGGGCACAGATTAATGAGACAGGATAGGGGATCGAGAAACAGATTCATATAAACATGGCCAGTTTATTTTTGACCAAGGTGAAAAACAACTCAATTGAGAAAGCAGTTATTTCAACAAATTGAGCAACTGAACATTCACAGGCCAAAAAAAAAAAAAAAAGAATCCTGAACCTCACACATTATACAAAAATTAATCTCAAAATGTAAACTCTAAATTTTTAGCAAAAAGCATGAGGAAAAGCTTTCATGACTTATGGCCCAGCAAAGAATTCTCAGACACTGACAGCCAAAGCAGGTCTATTTTTTTTTTCACATATTTGACTTCATAAAAATTAAAAACTTTTGCTCTGTAAAAGACAGTTAATAGAATGAAAGGGCACACTATTTTTCTCTTCAATCTATATGCTTTTTCTTTTTTTGCCTTATTGTACTAGCAATATAATGTTTCCTAATCTTTAGAAGAAAGCATTCAGACTTTTCATCATGAAGAATGGTATTAGTGGGAGGGTTTTAACAGAGGCCCTATATCAGACTGAGGAAGTCCCTTCTATTTCTAGATTGCTTAGAGTTTTATTAATAATGCATGGTGAAATCTGCAAACATAGTTCTGCATCAGTTGATATGGTCACATGGTTTTTCTTTCTTAGACAATTATTATGTTAGATTTTACTAATTTTTGAATACTGAACCAGCTTTGCCTTCCTGGGGTAAACTCTTTTTGGTCAAGATCTATTATTATTAGGTATCACTGGATTTGATTTGCTAATATTTTGGTGAAGATGTTTACACTTATGTTCATGAGGCATATTGATCTATACTGTTGGCTGGTATGCAGAGTAGGTCAGGGTCACATATGACAAGAGTGTAGCTCGAGTGGGAACAAGAAATAAACATAAGAATATGGGGTTGCTTTCCTGAGCTCCTCCCTTTCTACCTCCTCTTCCCAGTAAATCCTGGTTCCTTGGGGCTGACTCCTCTTTTTGTCTCTCTGGCTAGAAGTCTGGGGCTTTAGTTACTCCTCTTGGCCATGTAGTTCTGTGACTGTGTCCATGTCTAGGATCAAGCAACAAGTATGAAAACAAAAACCAAAAGCTTACTAGGCAGAATTAGAGGCGCTATCATGCTAGTTAGCCTTTATAATTCAACCTCACCTTTCAGGAAAATAGTATATTCCACATAATCTCAACTGGACACTTTCCCCCTTACACTCAAACACAGTACTTTATATATTGTTGAAAAGAAATATAATGTACCATATTGATATGATTACAGAACTTTCCCCCCAGTTCTTACTCTCATAGTCTTTTTTTATTCTCAACTTCTGGAAGGAAACCACTCCCCCAACACACACATACAAAATTGGTATGTTAATTAATTTTTGGAAACAGACATATCCATGGTCAATCTCAGGTTCATGGTCAATCTTGCCTGATGGCATCTTTCTTAAACATCTCCACAGCTAATGTTTTTAAGCTACTGGTTTTCCCTCTAATCTCTCACCTTTCCCTAAATTATGACAGCTCTGTAATACAAGCAGGGCATGTATTGTTACATTCATTTTAAATACAAGGAAATGGGTAAGTTCAAAGAGGTCAAGTGATTTTCCCACAGTGGAATTGAGACAATGGTAGACTGAATCTAGCATCCAAGACTCCTGACTCCTACCTCAATGCTCCCTCCGCTATAATATATACATTTTCACGCAAAAGGAAAACATGTCTCTCAAGACACACAGATCCCATATTCAAAATTAAAGATGCATACTCGCTTCTGAAGCTCTAAATAAAAAATAAAATGTCATCTTTTTTACGTACACCAATCCAGGGATACAACCAATAAAGGTCTCTTGTGAAAATATCCATTAAAAAAACCTACTGTAGCTTTCCTGTGTCCAAGAAAGAACCAAGTGAATGGTAACTGGATGGTGACTGAACTATGCCAATTCAAGATGCCAATTCTCAGATT